TTAAATTTTACATTACGTAGACCTTATTATACCTCAAGTTCTCCTAAAGAAGATAATCCTATACCTATATTAATTATAACGAATTTACAGGATAAAGATAGCATATTTTCTAAACGTGATCTCCCATTTTTTTTTAATAAAAAAATTGGAGGTATATACAGTTTTTTAAACATGGTTAATGGAAAACAATATATAGGTAGTGCAAAAGATTTATACTTAAGATTAAACGAACATTTATCAAATAGAAAATCAAATAGGGCTTTACAGATTGCTATTTCAAAATATGGTTTAGAGAACTTTAACTTTTGTATATTTGAATATTTTACTTATGAGAATAAGACTACTAGCTTTAAATTATTAACTGAATTAGAAACTATGTATATAAATAAATTTAAATTTAGCAATTTATATAATTTTTTAAAAAATGCTTCTAGCTCAGAAGGCTACAAGCATACAGAAGCTGCTAAAGAAAAATGGTTGAAAGATTTAAAGATAAGACTAACCATCCTTTCTGAGGAAAGCATCATGATGAAAGATCTAAATCTTTCATTAGCAAATCTGGGTCATTAAATCCTATGTTTGGTAAGACACATTCGGAAAAAACTAAAGAGCTTATAAGAAGTAAAAGAGTTAAATATCCTAATGGTGTAGGTATCTATGACCTAGATAACAATATGATAATAAGGTTTGATTATGCTTCAGATCTAGCTATTTATTTAAATGTATCTAAGGTCACTGTAAGTAAATATATAAATAAAGGGTTGGTTTTTAAAGGTAAATACTACTTAAAAGTTAACTCTTTTAACGAATAAGTAAAGTATTTACTGATACTCTACAACACAGGAATCAGAACTAGTAAGTGGGTTTATGACAGAGCATTCAGCTGTTATTTTTGTATTTTTCTTTTTAGCTGAATATGCTAGTATTATTCTTATTTGTATTTTAAATAGTATATTATTTTTAGGTGGTTATCTGTTTGACTTTAACTATTATCTATATCCTTACTTTTATTTAGTGCAATTTATTGCAGGGGATAGTTATATGTATCTAACAGAAAATGAAACTAATTTTAATGTAATTGACTTTGATAATTACAATTCAGTAATAGGAACAACTATAAGTGGTGTGGTAATAGGACTTAAAACTTGTGTAATGATCTTTACTTTTATATGAGCGAGAGCCTCATTCCCGCGTATTCGTTACGATCAGCTTATGTCCTATTGTTGAACTGTTTTATTACCAATAGTTATTGCATTTATTATACTAGTCCCATGTATATTATATAGTTTTGAAATAATGCCTTGTAATATACCTTTATTATAAATTAACAAATATTTATCTAAATAATAATTTTTTATTATAAATGTGTTATGTTTTTAAATATTATACTAGAAAAAAGTTTTTTGATTTGTATAATTTACCCTAGTCCCCTTACTTTTTGAGTATATCATGAAATATGTAAAAAAAAGTTAGGGGGAGAAGATAGTATAGCTTTTATATATAATTATTTAGTAAATTTTCTAAAATTTTTCTATGTATTATAAGTATTACATTAACATAGATCCTATAATAGAAAAGAAACTAAAAACTGTCTAGGTATGTAAAAAATTTAAGTGTGGAAATATATATTGTGATCCTAACTAGTACTTAAAGGTTTTATGCTACTAGCTCTTTAGTTTAAAACACTTTTGTTGAGTTTGCTGTGTTAATTAGGTCACAATAACTATACTGGTGGAGTATAAATTGTATTTTATAATATATCATTATTTGAATGAATAGTACGTACAAAAGAGCTTATTGACATAAATTAAGGTGTTTTACAAATACAAGAACGATAATAACAAAATAATTTACTATAACAGTCATTACATACCTGCTTATTATTGTAAAGTACAGCTGTACTAATAGACAAGTTTTTGTATTTATTGGGCTACCTAATGAGAGAAAGGTGTTTTTCTATCAACACTCATCTCACACTACCCCGGGAGGATTGGCCCTTATTTGCGATTTTGTGACTCACATCTGTATGGGAAAGTATGAAGATACTCTTCTAAACCACTCCATGGAGGCTCAAGGGTCAACCCCTTAAAAATCCCCACCGGAAGAAGAAGTATCACATACTTCTATATAAGTCGGTGAATATTTCTTATAATGATTTATCAATTCTTCTTTTTTCACCAATCTATCGTCTTAATAACTTATTTTTTCGGGACTATTCACATTGATTTTAGTGCATGTATGTATCCCCTTTTTAGACTGAACACTTTTAAATTTAGTGAGATTCCTATGATTAACTTCTACAAATTTACTGGGATTTTCTTTAATGTATTTGTTTACCTTTTCTATGTCTTTTTCCATTTATAATAAATTAGTTTCACTTTTCAATTTTTTATATTTTGAAAGAGATGAATAAATAAACGGAAATTCCCTATTTTCATCTATGATTATCGTTTTGATAAACAAATCTAAATTTCGTTCTGTAAGATCCATTACAGGCTTATTCACAGACTTATCCGGATTATAAAAAGATTGTGTTACAATTTTATATGCACTAGTATTAAATACAACGATCATTAATCTACTTAAATTGAGTTGGTGAAAGACTTCCTTTTAAATTATTTTTCCCACTACTAATTATTATCCCAAAAGTTTTAAATATAACTTTTAGTAATGGTAATCTAACTCCATCAACAATTAAGAATGTTTTTCACCCATGATCTCTATGTGTAACTAACGACTCAACCATATCCTCTTTAAAAAAATTCTTTATATTGCATTATTCTATAAAGGTGTGTACCATTCTCTATTTTATACCCCTCCGATACACGCCTTCTATTTCTTATAATTCTAATAATATAAATCTTTTCCGTATCTAAGAAAATAGCCCCAAAATTACGACGTATAACATTATTATAAAATGCTTTATCTAAATAATTTCTATTAAAAACAATAGAGGTAGTATGAACAACATTACGTTCTTTCTGAGATGAAAGTGTAATCCCACTCAAATCAATTATTGTTGAAAAAGGAGCATTTCTTTTAACTAAAGAATACAAGAAATTCCTATCATTCTTTCATTTCTCTATCTGAGTTTTCTCAGATGAAGTATATATATCTTCAATTAATTTTATACTTTTTTCTTTAGCAGCAAACTCCACTGTATCCAATTTTTTTTTTAACATATCTAGTAATTTTTCTGTATTCATTTTTTTTATAATTTTTAGTAGAAAAAAAGGGAAAAGTGAAAGAACGCCCTTAACCGTTTTAACCTTTCACGGGAGATATTAGGAATCGAACCTACAAATATATCTACACTGTTAATAATATTACACCTGGATCTCCTTTTATTTATTTTGCCATTGTTGGTTGCTTTAGTTTTTTTTGTATAAAAAAAGAAACTAAAAAAAAAGTTAAACAAAAGAAAAAAAAAATAAGCAGCAGGGTAGAAAAGAACATGTATATGTTTTTTTCAACCCATGCGGGAATATACAAAAATATAACTAATATAGGTGTAGGTTTATATGATATACACAATACTAAGTAAATATATTGCTCTAAAATGTGAAAAATCTACAGTTAGCATTAATGACTGCTAACTCAACCCTTTAACCCAAAAGTTCCATTTCTTGTCTTAGAATTAATAAGGGTATATTGTGTATTGGATTTAACGTAACCTCTTAGCATAGTAGATGGTTTATTATTAAATGAGGAACGTATGTTTTTTAAGCTACCTGCATATCTATACTTAAATACAGCTCTCATAGCTGTTAAACGTCTTGTTAATCTACCTGATGCTTCAAATCTTACACCACTTACTACTTGTTGTTTTATGGTATTTATAATATTGTTTTTGTTCATTGCTTCAATATTATCATCAAATGTTATAAGTGTGTGTAAATCAGGTATTCTTACCATTTGTAAAATAGCTTTTCTTAAAACTCTTACTGCTTTATTTTTCCTATCTCTTAATTTTAAAGCTACTGCTGATGAAAATACGTCACTATTTAAATGTATAGATCTTAACTCAACTAAGTTAATTTCTACCTTTTTGTTGTATAATTTTTCAATTAAACTAATTAAACCTAAATTTCTTAAGTTTAGATTTAAGCTATTGAATTTAGATTTATTAAAATTAAGTAATTTTAATGAATTAAATAATATTTTTTGTAATCTAACTAATTTTTTTAAAAGTATAATGTTATAAGTAGGTATATTACTTAACGTAAGGTATTTTCTTCTTAAATCTACTAGGAAGTATCTTATTAAGTTGTTATTTGTTTTAAAGAAAGCCATATTTCATTTTCTAAATATGAAAAAGTTATTTTTTAATAAAGCAGGTATTCTGTTTTCATGGTTTGGTACAAATACTCTTTCTCCATCAACAATTAGTTTTCTATATTTTACAAGTACAAGAATTTTTAATATAAACCACTCAATAGATGATTTTTGTTTATTATATATATATAATGTTATAAAAAGTTTTGTGTTAGTATGTTTTAGCTCAGCTCTACTTGCATATATTTTGTTTGCTGAATAACGAATCTTGTTATCACGTCTACGTTTAAAAAGAATTTTTATTTTATCTTGTAGCATATTACAATAACTTCTAAGTAATTTATTTACTACAGCATCGTAACTTATTAAAGATTTAATGTAAGATTTATTGTAAGAGTATACACTACTAAATCATTCTTTACTAGAAGACGTATAAAAAATAATGTTATTATATTCATCTCTTTCAGAATTACTTTGTATTTTTGGATTTTTTTCTATAATATAGTTAGTACTTAATGGTTTATCATTAAAACTATTTTGTTTATTTTTGAATATGTTTAACATAGAATATTGTTATGAATTATTGGTATAAATTAGGGCAAAACAATGAAAGTTATAAGTTTAATTAATATTGTACATCCTTACTACATTTCTATAAATTTTTATGTTTATTATCGTTAAATTTAACCATTTTCCCTTTAAGATAGGTGTGTAATTATGAAAAATAAGTTGGAAATAAGTGATTCGAACACTTAACCTGCCGCGTGTAAAACGGATGCTCTACCAATTGAGCTAATTTCTTTTTTTATGGGGGGCTTTAAGCAAAAGTTTATTTTACTCTTCTCCCCCCCCCTTAATTGCTGTATAAAATTTAGACTGCAATTAACCAGTTACTTCATAAGATGTATATACTGGGATTTGTTATACTATAATAGATAAAAAAATTACTATAAATAACAAATTTTACCTTTTTCATAACAAGTATATGGTGATCTAATCGTTATTTTACTATTATGAACAACATGTATCTACAACTGCTTGCATACTTTCCACAAGGTTTGTCCCGCTTGCTTCTAATAATCCTTTAGCCGTAACTTTAATGGTATTGATATCATTAGTTGTTTGTTGTGAAATACCCGGTTGATTTAATTCTGAATCTGCTAGTTTATTTATATATCTAAACTAGTCAGAACTCAATTTAATTTCATTCTGTACTATTTCACCTGCAACATGAACTTTATTCTCCGCTTGAACTAACAACTCCCTACCACTAGGTAAACCACGAACATGATCGTGAAAATCCCTAATCTCATCTCTTAGTGGTTCAGAACTTTGTTAAATAACAGTGCTTTTCATAGTAGAATTACTATTTTGAGACAATGCTAGTGATAAAGATATAAGTAGTGCTAGAGTAATAATAGTATTATTAATATAGGAGTTAAATAAAAGATAAAATATTAACCCTATCATGATATACAATGCATAAGATGTTATAACTCCAGTGTTTAATCTAGAAATATTATAACTTATATTCAATAGCCCTTTCTCTAACCCATAAGGACCTAAATACTCTACGGATCCTTTATCTATTACTTTCGTAGTTTGCCCACCAAGTTTTAGTACAATACCTGTAATGTATCTGTTGTAAAATAGTTCTATTAAGAAACGTTGATTAAAGAAACTAAATATGTTGTAACCTACTCTAGATAATTTAAAGTAAATTAATATAGTAGATAAGTATTCAGACAACACTATAGCAATAACACTTAATGAGATAGTGAATATTAATGGTAATAACTTAAATAGAGTTGGTACTCCAAATTCAGTATCTAACATTATTTCATGAGAAGGATGTATAAATAAAGCATTATCTGCAAAGAATCCTGAACCTAACCCTATAAACATGTCTTTTGTTATAAACCCAAAGAATATTGAGAATACAGCTAAAATCATTAAAGGTAAGCTCATAAAGATATCACCTTCATGTGCTTGTTTATAGTTTATTAAAGGTCCATTAGGATTAGTTAAGAATGTTAAATACAACACTTTTACAGAGTATAATGTAGTAAACATTGCTCCTATAGTAGCTATTATATAAACAACAGTACCAGAGAAATAATATTGACCATAAGCAGATTCAAGTATAAAATCTTTTGAATAGAATCCTGTCATGAAAGGGAATGCAACTAAGCTTAAAGAAGCTATAAGCATTACAGAATAAGTAAGTGGTAAAAATGGTCTTAACCCACCATATCTTCTAAAATCTTGATTGTCAGCTACAGCATGGATAACTGCACCAGCTCCCAAGAATAATAGTGCTTTATAGAACGCATGGTTCACCAAATGAAATAAAGCTATATTATAAGAAGATAAACCTACAGCTATAACCATCATCCCAAGCTGGCTCATTGTAGAATAAGCAATAACTTTTTTAATATCTTGTTGGAATAAACCTATTAAAGAACTAAATACAGTTGTAATTGCACCTAATCATAAACATAATAGTAGCACAGTTGAACTATATTCTATTAAAGGAGATGAACGCATTAATAAATACACACCAGCAGTTACCATTGTGGCAGCGTGTATTAGTGCACTAACGGGTGTAGGCAAATTGGTTGATTTATGCTATATGTAGATCAATGTCTACACTAATACGGCACAAATACTCAACAACTCACGTTATTGTTCGGACTATATCATCAATTACATTATTTGTTTATGAATTTAATTTTATCTTTTATGATTTCTATACCTGATTCAGTTAAATGTTTTTTATCTTTAACCAGATCATATACTTTTAATCATCTCAAGTATGAAACATGTTTTTTAGTTTTAAGAGGATAATTGTGTAGATAATTTAATATTCTATTAAGTTTACCAAAATTAACTACAGTATTATAATCATCATAGCTTTTTATATGTGTTACATAACCATCTATTAGGTTAGAAAGGAGTTTACTAAATTCCACATCATCTTTTTGAGAGATTACGTATCTTACAGTAACTATATGTTTACCTGTTTTACTTAAATAGGCAGAACTAGTGAAACATCCTTCTGCATCTGTAAATCCAGATAACCATGCATTACATAGATTTACTTTTTCATTTGATTCTATATGTATAATATTCGTTTTATATTTTAAATTAAAAGCTTCTAATCATGATTTAAACTGAGATTTTATATTTTTAGTTAGTAAGTTACCATTGAATATCTTTATTATTTTTAAAAGATTATCTTTATCTCTAACTCTATACTGATGAGTTTGGTTTAATTTGCTTTGTACTGTTACGGATCCAAAGCCTAATTCTTTTTTAATGTAGAATAGTACTTGTGCATCTACGCTAGATTGTGTGACTTTAAACACTAAATAACCTCTTTTGTCTATACTAAATCCTCCATCTCCTTCAGCAAATCCTATTAACCATCATTCAAAAATTTTTTATCATCTAATGTAATTGCTTCACGTGTAGTCTCTGAAGAGCCCAAGTTATTCATTTGGTTTCCTGCGGATTGTCCCTCATTCTGGTTTTTTCCGAAGCTTACAAAGTAAACAGTGGACCATAATATAAAAACGGGATGTTCCCGCATATAGTGAAGTTTAAGGAAGGCCCTATTCAAACCCTCCATCGCCATAGGTAGTCAAACGTGAAGACCTATTTGAGAACTTTTAGCCATAGCTCCAATTAATAAACATATACCTACAATAGTAACAACATTTTCATTCATGTAAGGAGCTAATGAGAATACAGTTGCATAGTCTAAATTCAATTTACTTATAGTCTTTCGGCTATAATTGGACTGTATCTTCACCCAATTTTTTTTATGGGTGTATAACGCGCAGTCTCTGAGGATCCTCGATATATAATAAATATATTTAATGTTTCCTGCTGATTGTCCATTTTCACTTATTAAACAACAAGATCTATTTATTTTAATTTTTATGGTCTGTGTACGTATCTAAAAAAAAAATATTTTCACAGTATCCTATAAAATAACTTTAGGAGTTTCCAGCGATACAGTTATATAATAAGAGTAATATTACTATTACCCACGGCAATTTATTTAAAATGCAAAGAATCTAAATGTGAAAAATTATATTGTTTTTTTTTATTATTAAAATTATTTTTTATAATTTTTATCTTATCCAACTTCTCTTTGGTTAGACTTCCTTTATTAAGATCTTGAACAAGACATCAGTCTTTATATGATAGATACTTAGAAGAATATAGTGGAAAACGATCAAAATACTTACGAACAATTTCATGACTTCTGGAGTTATGAGCTATTGCCATAAAAGCATAAAAGACTTTATCCTCTTTTTTTCTAGTTCTAGTGTAAAGATTTACAGTAAGAAAATTGGTTATTTCAGTTAAAATATTAAAATAGCTAGCACCTCCTATATCTTGAGAAACTTCTCTAGAATAGTTTTGTTTAACTTCTATACGGAAAACAGTTTGAACACTTGTTCTTAGGAAGACTCCATTTTTTTTTCTATCATATACTGTTATGGCAAAACCAGCATCAGCATCACTAAAACCTGCCAATCAACTATTACTGTCTAAAGGGGATAAATCTAAACCTAGTAAAGGTATAGAACTACTATCTTTTTTATTTATTCAATTAATAGCTCTATGCAAAGCTTCTATTTTTGGTGTACGCATGTGTCCATTAATCAAATGAATTATCTTTAAAACCTCTTTTTTAGCTAAGATTTGTAATAATACATGGCCTGCCTTTTCTCTATTAATAACTTTACCTACCTCTAATTCAGAAGATAATTTTTCAGCTAAAGGTTTATCATTACTATTAAAAGCAATAATAATTTTTGCCCTACTAACTATATTAGTCTTGGAGATTTTATCCTGAACACCAATATAGCCATCTCCTTCAATTAATCCGGCTAAGTAAGGCCCAATAAAACTGTCATTTGATACTTCAGTTGTAGAATATCTTCTTATGGAACGATCAAAAACAGATCTATTTTTTTTAAGAGCACGAGCACAACAATAGCTATTGTCACATTTAAATTCTTTATTTTTTTCTATTTTACCAAACGCTAAAAAAATCGCAAACATACCTACAGTTAAGAAACAATCACCTACTCTATTTGTTAAAAATGCTGAAAGAGAGCTTTGATTTGCTGCTATTCTAGTAAATCAAAAACATACTAAAAGATAGGAACAAACCCCAACACCTTCTCAACCTACAAACATTAATAAAAAGTTATTAGCTGTAACTAATATAACCATCATAAATGTGAACAAGCTTAAATAGCTAAAGAACCTTTGAGGGTGAGGATCCTCACTCATATAACCTATAGAATAGATATGCACTAAAGAAGAAACTATTAAAACAGGTATAAGCATAGAACAACCTTAGTTAACCTGGCCTTAATGTCACCTCTATACAGAGGAATAGACATTAAGAGTATCTTTGATACTTAGGAGTTTATTACCTTTGTGGTAAGGCTATCCACTGTGCGTAGTGTTTTTTATGATAAATATTTCCTCCCTACGATCTCGCACTCGTTCTAAGGTCCGACTGTACATTCGGACAGACATTTCAGCCTAACCCCGGCGAACCAGTCTGTAGCGACATTTATTACTGCCGACGGTCTTTAAGTATATCCTTGTTAACCGTTTTCACCCATTTATATAAGTATAGAATTGTTCGATAATAATCTTACCCAATTCCTATTAATTCTACCTAGCCTTACTAACTTAGTTACACGGCTATTCATATTCCTTCGTTACTATAAAAAATATATCCTTATAGTAATTCAACTATGATAGGTAGAC